GGGGGGGGGGGGGGGGGGGGGAGGCGCTTGAAAGATGCATGCATCGAGCTCGGACTTTTGAAGGGTCAAAGTTGTCGCCGAGCGGTCAGATGCAAGATGGATGCTCCCACGCGAACAGGGCTGGGGCAGCGCAACTGGAACAGTGTCGCAGATTGGTTCCATGAGGATGACGGTGTTCATTTCTAGGGCTTCACAAGTACAGAGTGGGCTCCACACATGTGTGATCTGACGCGTGTGCCTGCGCACGCCGCGCGTGCGCGACAACAGATACCACTTGATGCCCCCCTTGAACTCGTCAGGCGGGAGAAATGGCAGCGGTCATGTTGTGAGCTGAGCGAGAAATGAGCAGATCAACATTCACGTGAATTTGAAAACGTGCAATTGTTCTTGTGGTAAAGTGTCAAGTACGAGCGGGGAGCGCAGAGGGGGCTGCGAGAGAGTACTAGCGGGAAAGACGGGGGGGGGGCGGCGTGGCAGCAAGCAAGCAAGGGCGCGCACGGGCGCGGGCGCGGGCGCGGGCGCGGGCCGGACGCGCTCAGTTGTCGGACTGAACGAATTGCCAAGATGCGTCAAAGACACCGGCATCCAGAGGAGCGAATTGCTCAAAGAGGGAAGTGGAGAGGTTGAGGGCTCCATCGCCATCCGTGCTGTCGACGACTTGAGCACGGACAGTCTTGCCGCGAGCGGTAATCTGCAAACAAGCAAGCAAAAAAAAAGGGCGTGGGTGACAAACGTTTAGATCGGAAGGGGAAAAAATTGTCGCGGAAGAGTTGGCGAAGGATGCTGATTTGCTGCTGCTACTCACCTCGATGAATTGGAAGCAATGGTCACCGTTGCCGTAGACGTTGCGGTCGATGCCGACCGCAGCTTCCGAGTTCTGCACTTGGCTTCCGCTGCAAGATGGTGCAGGCAGAGTGTGCGACTTGAGCATTCGCAGTGTATCAGACGCTGCACGATTCGACGCCAATGGCTCACCAGTTACCGTAACCACCGTTGAACTCGGTGTAGCTGGCCTGACCATTGTAGACGGTCGTATCTTGACGCTTCAGTGGTGCGGGGGCGGCAGAAACAGCAGCGGCCATGGCAAGCATGCCAGCGACGAGGATGAGTGCGCGAGAGAACATTGTTGGCGATGTGTTTGCGGAGCAAAGCAAGAGGTGCGAGAGAATGCTGAAGGAGGGGTTTTTCTCAAGTGGGATGCGAAGGTAGAAGGGGTGATGTGAGATGGGGAGAGAGGGATGAAGAGGGATGGCAATTCGACAGGGCCTCTTTATACCTTTTTCTTGTAGGCCGTACTGGGGCCAGTTGCATGTCGCTCGTGCCAGTGACCGCGCCCATAGCCGTTGCGAGCAATACTTTGAGAAGTCACGAGTGAGGAGCGACTCTCTCTGACTGTGCGGTCATGCCTAGACACACACAAAGCAACGTTTCAGAAGCTGTCGGCATATTCGGCGACCGGCGTGGACATGCAATGCGACCTATGCTGAGCTTGATGAGCAAAGGGTCGCACGTCGTACACGCTCTCATGCAAATCTGACGAACGTCTGACCGTCGGTCACATTGAGGTTCAAAAAAGTTGCACAAACGGCACCTCCTCGATGCAGGACACTTCGCAGGTCGAGGTCGAGCCACGCCTTCAGAGAGCGTTCCTCGTTGGCGCGGCGGATCAAGCCATCTCATCTCATCTCCATCCACCGCCTGCATGTCAGTGTGCGTGAGCATGAACGAGCGAGCGAAAGCGTCACACTTTTTGCTGGTTCAAGACCCTCGTCGGAACTCCGCAGTGATGAACGAGGAGTGGCAAAGCAGTCAGTCACGAGTATGGCGCGGGGTATGATGGACGCATTCGACATTGTGCACGACTCGACGCTGATCGACGATCCCCATCACCACGATCAAGCGCGGAATGGATGGATGGCAAGGTGTCATGTGTCTCGCAGTCATGAGTCCTGCATCGGCTTTGAGCCAACTAGCGCGCTTCACTCTGACTGACTCGGGACGTGACCACGACGTGCGTGCGTGTGTGCGTGCCTACCTAGCTGTCATCACATGCACCCACCGCATTTGTGATCGCTGTCTGCCGCGGACACGACAACAATTAAATCGCCGGCGGAGGTACCCGCACGCATGAACGCCGCGGCCGTGAGGCAAGGCAAGGCAAGGCAAGGCAATAAGCAAGCTGCTTGCTATGCTTTATTGCATGTACGGTATACCTACGATGCTGGCCGGCCGAGCCGCGAGGATTCACGATTCACGACCCAGCATTGAGGAAGCTAGCTCCGCTCACTACAGCAGCGCGCGCGCTCCATGATTCCTTCCTTGATCGTGCGTTCGCCGGCTTCGGATCTCCGACGTGTGCTGTAGGTACAGTATAGGTGTCGCGCGGTCAATCGGTCGAGACAGCTTGAGCAGCTATAGTCACGTTCTGAATCACGTGGCTCCTGATCGAGTCTCGAGTGTGAGAGGTCTCGAGTGCATGGGCCGATGTTGAATCTCATGGTGATCATAGTTGATGACGTTCACACTCTCTTTTCAGAGTTTGACTTGACTCACCATGTCCATGTTGCTCGGCATGCATGCCGAGGTGGTTGACTGACATTATTGAATTCACATTGCTCGCCACTCTTGACCATGAGCCCAATTTGACGTGACAATGTCGAGCTTTGGGTGATGGAAGAGCCACGTAGAGTCAAGTCAGGAGTGCAGTCTCTTTTGTTTCCGCATATCCCCAACGCAAATCTTGAATCAAAAAATCGTGAATGGCGGGGGGGCTAAATGGCATCAAGACTTTTGATTCGTCATTCACGTGATTTTCATGGGAAACTGCGCAGGCGCGCGCGCGCGCACGCTGATCATCATCCCATCAGCGAGCGGTCCAAAAGGGGCCGC